AAATACTATAATTAAAATAGAGAAGTTCCTATTACACAAAGGTATGGTCTTCCAAGATTGTTTCTAAATCAGACCTCAGTATTTCTTTTCCTATGGTGGTAGCCCATTCCCCGGAAGCTGACCCTAGGGCTCCTAGTAACAGTCATTTCATAGTCATCCCCCATCCCTTCATATTCCATAAATTTAAAGTCCAGTTTATAAGAAAATGCTTTGTAACCATTTGGGAATAAAGGATGCCTACTGCTTCATTATCTAGACCATCTGTGGAGTAGGCTCCTATATATCAGAAAGGGGAGTGATGAGTATCTCCAAGTTTCCCTGAAGGTCTAGTCTCTAAAATGGCTCTAGATTTGACAAGGTCTTGAATCCCACTTTAGCTGTGGCCTTCAACAGTCCCAGAGGCTCTGGTCCATTCAGAGTTCCCTGTAGTTTAGTTCTGAAGTTCCCACTCATCCACCCCCACCTGCCCTAATTGTCATACACAACCTGCTCTTTTCATTAGGACTCTTGCTTTACTGCCCATGGTGGCCAAACTGTTATGCAGATTTACCAGCTATGAACATAAGAGCTGCTTCCTACATCCTTTTCATTCTTAAGAGCATAGTTATTGATACAAATAAAATTTGTATCTAATTTATACTGCCTTCAGAAAATGAGATATACTAAATCTATAGACAGTGTAATTTAAGCTTTTGAGATTTTAAAGATGTAAAAGTTGCTTGGCAACACCTTGCTCTCAGCTCTTTTACAGGAAAATCCTGAGATTAAGTCAGTCTGTACCATCTGCATCGCTGCTGCTCTGAAAACCACTGAGGAAAGGTGACATAGAAACTCAGAACTCTGTTTTGTCATCATTCCTTGACTTCCAGCCCCACCCCAGCTCCATAGCTGGACAAAATACTATGATATACATCAAGATTCACCTTTGGGTCCCAAAATGAGTGTGATTCACTCTGAGGCCTGCTCCTGCCCCTATCTGCACAGTGCTCACTTATACACACATTCACAGAGTGAAACAGAGGTTAGGAGAGATTGTTGAGAAGTCCTGCTCGCATTCTCCATCATGCTCCCTTTCTTCCAAAGACTTGAGGACAAAGCTTGTTTGTCGCTGGTAGTTAGCAGCCTGAGAACCTTACCTGCATGTGAGGTATATATAAGAATGGGGGGGGGGGGGGCGCCTGGGTGCTTCGCCCTTTGCCTGCCACTACCCCTGCTTGTGCTCGCTCTCCCTCTCTCTCTCTCTCTCTGACAAATAAACAATCTTTAAAAAAAAAAAAAAGAGGGGGAATAGTAAGGACTACAAATAGTCTCCAGATGCGTGTTACTTTGTTTTGTTTTTCTTTTAAGTTGAAAACTATACAAGTCTCTTCTAATTGTTACTGCAGGTGAGGGTTTTGGAACTCACAGGGGAACTGAATTCTCGGAGACCATCACTACAAAGGTTTACTTTCTTTATCCTGAACCAATCCTTTCTCATTTTGAGAGTTCTTAGTAAATTATTATCTCTTTCTAAGAGCTATTTTTTAATTGATATCTAAAGTAGGCATTCCAAAAGAAGTACTTTTTTATAACTCCCATTAAGACTTTTGCTTGTTTGCTGATTTCATGATGTTTAGAAGTTTCAGAAATTCATTTGCAGTAGGTACTTAAATCTTCATTCTCTCTATGACTAAAATACACTTTAAATATGCTTCAGGTACACTTATTTGCCTTTCATTGTTTTCTGATCAGAAGTTTTAAACATGGAATCGTGTTGCAAATAAGTTAAAATGGTTCCTTCCATTTGATACTAATTGGGAACTTTTATTTTTTTAAGATACTATTTTTCCTTCTACTTTATTAATATTCAAAAGTCACTGAAGTCAGAATTCCGACTTCTAAGAGACTGACCTGCCTCTATTTGTAATCCATAATTTCTCAACCTTGGCCCTACTGACATTTTAGAATGTCATGGTAATTCTTCGTTGTGGGGGCTATCCTGTGCATTATAGGGTGTTGGACAATATCTCTCCCCTCCAGGATGTGCCCGTAGCACCCACCCAGATCAAACGTCCCCAGGGGCAGAATTGCCCCTTGTTGAGAGCAGCTGTTCTGATCTATGTGTAACACATGCTTCCAAACACTTCAGTGGGGATATAGCATGGGTTGTATGTGCTTTTCTTTTTAACTTTATTTCTTTTTAATATGATTCTTTCCTATTTGGGTTGTGATACTTTTTTAAAAGACCGTAGATTTGTTTTTTGTTGTTGTCTGTTTCTTTTCTATTCAAGACACTTTTAAAGAAGGAGAATATTAAAACCTTCTGTGTCCACCACCAGGCCAGACCCTATTATTTTGAGGAGCGTGCACAGTAATTCATACCAGATACTTTTGTTGTTGAATCTTCCAGGTTTATACAAGACACTGTGTGTACATGTTTAAATTTTTTTTAATGTATAGGAAGATAATTCTTCACCTTAAAAAGTATAAGCGTTACTTCAGAACAATCAGTTCAGAGGCTGAGAAAGGAAAAATCTACATTTAATTATTACAAAGGTTTGATAAGAGCTTTCATGAAATGCTGTTTATTATATGTCTGAGCTTAAGAACTCCTGTAATTAAGTTACAAGTTTTTAGTGAAAGAATACTGAACATTTATAGAATTTGAATAAAAAGTCTAGCCACTCTTGAAAAATACAGAAAAAACTCTATGATTCTACTTTTTAAAAATGCAATTTAGAATCTCCCCAAAGGGACAGTCTTCCATATTTTGCTGGGTGAAGTGCTTCTGCATTTCCAGACCTGAGCTGCACAGGAATGAAGACCTTAGACCTCAAGAGAAACCAGAGCCCGGCCTGCAGATGAGCCTGCAACCACTGTGAAAATGTCCCCACCCAGGCTCTGCAGATCTGTGTGAGGGTTAAGGGCAGAAGGAAAATGGAAATGAGTTAGAGCGGAAGAAAGGATTCCATTTAGGTGTTCACACCTTCTTTACCTGTCCACTTTCTCTCATAGGCCTTTAAGGAGGCTTTAACTACAGGGCACATTCCTTCTCTATCAGCAGAATCCTCCTATTCTTTAAAATATAAAAGCAGACAGATGTCAGTTGAGTGCTGTTACACTCAGTGCCTAAGGATGGACTTTTTGTTCCCTTGTATCTCAACACAGCATTCCTTTGGCTCCTGCTCTCCCATGCCTCTGTAGAATTAAGAAGTAAAACATAGCATTGTTTCACCAGTGTGTGTGTGCTAACTAGGCATTCACTTTGCACACCCAGTAATACAGCCTAATGAGTCCTTCCAGAGTAAATTAAGACTTGCTCACAAAGTTCCAGCACTTTAGAACTAGGGGAAAATCTGAGAAATAAAATAACTTTAGGGACCAAAGAAGGTATAATTTATAAAGTAGATAATAAATGTAGAAACTTATCACCCTAGCAATTGGAACTAATTTAAAAGAAGGAGTCAAAGTTTAAATTTCAAGGATGATGGAGGCTTTATGGAGTATATTATGTAATACTCCACATCTTTGGTGAAATTTGCCCTCTCAAGCTTGACATGAGTTTTCTGAATCTCCTCTGAAAAGATGTTTTTCTTTGACTTATTTCTACCTGTTGTTCATTCATTCCCTCAACAAACATTTATTGCATGTCTACTATGCACTAGACATTGCAAATTATCTCACTTCTTACTTTATGTTTTGGTTTTGGTTTTGGTGGGGTGGCAGGGGGCTGTGGAATTGGTAGCTTGGTAGCTTCAAAAAAATTCTTTTCCTTAGGTCAAAAGTTAGGTGTCTTTTAGGGTGAGCAAGTCACAGTCGCTTGCAGGGTGTCCTGCCTGGCCAAGCAGAAGTTATACATGCTTATGCTTACTAGCACATTCAACCAGTTAGTTCTGAATCTTCATCTTACCATAATGAAAAGGGCAGATTTTGGGGGAAAGAATGAGAACTGGAGAACATCCCCCACCCCCGCCACCTCTCCACCCCCCCTGCTCCCTACTCATCTCCTCAATTGCTAAGACTCTGTGTATTTGGAGGCTGGAAAGCAGGAAGTCATATTTTTTATTCTTGCCAATGAATCCTTTTCATAATTATCACCTAACATCATGGTAGCCCCTGCAAACCCAAGGGAAGAAAGGTATTAGGAGCCGGAAAGGATGGAGCCATTGAAAGACAGAAGCTTTCAGTTCATTTGTTCACAGATGTTTACTGAGGTCCTACTATGTACCAGAAAATGTGCCAGAAAATGTGCTCAGTGATCTAGAGCAACCCCGTCCTTTCACTTTTGGGGCTTCCCATCTAATAGAGAAACTAGACCTTGAGTAAGAGCATAAAAAACATTTGCCTTTTCCACAGTGTTATTTGGGGCTCGGCCTTGGAGTCCGCAGAATCCTCTCTCCAGGCTCCTGACCCTATTCTGTAAACATGAGGGTAAGAGAATCTTAAGGCAGGGAGAAATACCCCTCTGCATTTTGGTGTGAATGTAACTGTGGCATTGACCCTATGCTGCTAGTTATTCTTCAAAAATATTACTCAAAGAAGGAAGAATTAAAATGAAATGTGCATATAATAAGAGAGTAAAGATTGGGATATAAACTCTGTCCCAGAGATCATTTAAATATCTAGAAGCTATTCAGCAAGGGGCAGCATGCCAGCCAAAGACAACCTTGTAGCTCAAAAGAGGAAAAGCTTTTTACTTTTTAGCAAATTCACTAATAACTTTTTCATGTGAACTATAATCATTTGCTAGTTTGAAACAAAGAGGTTTTCTCTTTATAAACTATTGATCAGAAGTGATTATTGACACTTAAGGGTAGAAAATGGAAATAAGAGTGGTGTGATTTTTAGGCATACTTGCTTGATTCCTTCAATGATTCGGTAATTTAAATGCTGTAAATTTCAATGCTCAAGAGGGCTTACATATAAAATGAATGTCACTTGAAAAACAGATAAGTCAGTCATCAGATCATTGTTTGTCAAATTTATAATTTGAGATGTTTCTCTCTTTTCCCTCCCTTTAGCTTGTCAAAATTCCTAAAAATGATCCCCCCAATGAAGCGCACACCTTTAACTTCTATTTGTCAAATGTGGGTAAAGACAACCCTCAGGGCAGCTTTGACTGCATCCAGCAAACATTCTCCAGGTAAGTATGTTTGAAGATATGCTGAAGGGAGAATAATTTTTCTTTGAGAGTTTTTTGTTTTTACTTAAACAATAAAATATATAGTAGTCATTCCATAGATGTTTATTCAATTGAATTATAGAGCTCTTTTATTAAGAAATATTGAGTACCTACTATGTGCCAACAGTTATATTTGTCACTGTGGGATACAATCATAAAAATTTTAAGGTTCTTGCCCTCAGGAATTTTTAAGGTATAGATTTTTTATCTATAAAACGGGGTTTTATTTTTAATTAAAGACAAGTTTAAGAATTTTTTTTAAGTTTTTATTCACTGTATTTAAATAAGAGTGCCTTATTGTATACTCAAGGTTCACACTCCAGAGTAAAGGAGTAAAAAAAATATGTATATCTTGTATATCCTTTCTTTCTTCCCTGTGCAAGCCTTGTTTTAAGATTTTCAGAAATTTTTATGCTGCAGCATAATGGAAACTAGAAATTAATCCCAATAGAGCAGTCACCGCTAATTTTAAAGGAAAAAAAAAAAGAGGGAGGAAGACAAGAATACACACCCACATCCCAGGGTACCATGGAACCCTTATCTCACTTAGGTCCTCTGTAAACAATAAGCTACTTGTTTGACTTGTCTTTGCTCTGGTTGTTTCTGATTAAAGAATGGGCCCCTTGAGTAGGGGGAGTTTGTTCTGCCCATGGATAAAGACAAGGCCTTAGAACCCCCAACATCCCGAGAACATTGAAATTGGCCCAAACTGTCTCAGGCTATCCATTCCTATCTCTCATCTGTGCAGTACTTGAAACTGTGTAAGCATTTGCTGTATGTGGGAGAAAGGAAAGGAAAGCTATATTGCAAGGGAGCATGGAAGGTAGAGATACCAAATAAGACACTTCACTGAGAGTTCTGAATTTCTACTCCCATTTAGGGTGACTAAATAACTTTCTGTTCTATCTTAATAGCCATTTTCCTGAGTAAATGTTAATTTTGCTCTTTAAAAGTTGCCCACTCCCAAACTTACATTTTTTGGTATAAATTGTGTATGTTGTAGATTATATAGACATTTCTGTACTATCCACTGTGATAGCTACTGGCCATATGTGGCTATTTACATTTCAATTGATAAAAATGAAATAAATTTAAAATTTAGTTCTTCACTCACATTTACCACGTATTATGTATGAGCTCAATAGCCACATGGCTAGTGGCTATCATAATGGACAGTACAGATACAAAACATTTTCACAATTGCAGAAAGTACTATAGGACAGCACTGCAGAAGATTACAGAAGCATCAAGTATGAGGGTCTTTAGTGATTGTATAGTTCAACCCCTTCATTGCACAGATGACGTATTTATAGTTACACAGCTGGTTAGTTGGTGACAAGGCTGAATAAAAACTGGGTCCTCCTAACTCCCAGACCAGTGTTCTTTACACACCAAAGGGCACACCGATTTCAAATTGTGGTGCTATTACTTATGATGCTTGCCTTTAGAGAATTATTTTATTATAGTGAGAACACTTTGACCTCAAATTGAACTACGTCCCATTAGAAAGCATCATAGGTAATATGATTTCTTGTTTGGAGAAGGATTTAAAGTCACTTACAAAATGCTACATGATGCAGCAAGAGAAATGAAACAACTATTGTGAGAAAATTGGGGCAAATACATTAGTATGATCCAGTGCATTTTATAAAAGTATGATCCAACTATAAAAGTATGATCATAAAATGGTCTTGTATGGGTATAAATTGAAATTGCCACTATGAAAACAAAAGCCCTGAAACTTCAGTTCTCAACCTGGCAAGCAAGTTGTTTTTTTTTTTTATAATTTCATTCCACCTCTTCTGTTCAATTGAATTTTTATTTTTCCCATGGTTCTTGTCTCTGCTGTAGTTCAGGTTCTCCTTGAATGTCACTTTTATCATATCTAAAATGGAGGAAATCCCAAAGTTAAAATTACCTTTCAAAAATTCCTTAAATCTGTCCATTCACAGGCCTCTTGGAAATACATAGTTCAGGGCATATAGCCCCGTACAGTAATGCACAGTCTATTGTAGGAAAACTGAGCTAGGCTAGAGAAAGATTCTAGGAATGCTTACGTGTCAAATGTCAAATGCTTATATGTCAAAGTATTTAAGTACTCTTAAGGTACTTTTAAGGTAACTCTGAAAAGGGATGAGTGGACAATTCTAGAGAGTACCTTCTTGCCTACAGGGTTTAGCTCTATTTTGTTTAATGGAAAGATCTGTTTCTTGACTTTGAGTGGTATAAGCTGTAACTTCATTGTGACTGACAAAAGGTTCAGCTTATTCTCACTATTGAAATTACTTAATAAATAATTTCTGGGGGGAGATGCTGAAATTCAAACTTCCTCCCACCAGAACTTCAAACTGTAGTCTCTTCTTCTTCCTTGCCAGTAGTCCTTCAGTAGCCTCCTAAGTGGTCTCCTCCTGCTTTCACTTTTGTGCCCCCTACCTCCCAATCTGTTCTTTATCCAGACTGATCTTTTTACAGTACAAATAAGATATTTTCTCGCCCCTGTTTTTAGCCTTTTTCTTGGGATAAATCTAAAATCCTCCAAAGCCCTGTATGAGTACTTCTCCTGCCCTCTTCAGTCTCAGCTCTAATTGTCTTTTCCAACTATCTTTGGTCAAACTGAAAACTTCCTCCTTGCTTCCCCTGGGCCCACACAGGTTGGTTCTCCTCCCAGAAAACGTCTATCCTCCCCGTCCACACACACACCCCCTGTAGACATCCCTGTAGATCAGCTTAGGCTTCACTTCCTCCAGGAAGCTTTTGCCTTGCCTACAATCCAGGTGAAAGACCTTCCTGGGGTTTCCCTGCCTCCCTGCCATTTGTCACACTGTGTCATAATTTCCAGTGTGCTCATCCTTGTCACCCAGTAGACAGCTTCTTGAATGAGGGGCCACATCTGTCTTAGTCCTTGTCTCAGTCGGACCCTCACATATTGCCTGGTGTGCAGTCCCTGCCTAATAAATATTTATGAGATGAATGAACTGGTTTTTTTCTTAAATAGCATTTGTACAGTTATTAGGAATTTACAGAAATTTTATCAACCCTATTTCTTAGCCTCATAACAAAGCTAGTTTGGAAATAGAGTATCAGAGCTGTAGTGACATTTTCATTACTTCTATATTCCAGTCTGTTTTAAGGCCATAGTAATTTCTTTTTAAAATACCAGCGTAGGGGCACCTGGGGGGCTCAGTCAGTTAAGCGTCTACCTTCGACTTAGGTCATGATCCTGGGGTCCTGGAATTGAACCCTGCGTCAGGCTCCCTGTTTAGCAGGGAGTCTGCTTCTCCCTCTGCCCTGCTCTCTCTTTCACTCAATCTCTCTCTCTCTCATAAATAAACAAAATCTTCAAAATAAATAAATATATAAATAAAATACCAGTGTAACTGCTACCATGATCCCCTAATATTAGCATAATACTTTGAAACAGAGCCATCTTCCAGGCCAATGTTAATTTTCATGGTTTTTTTTAAATAAAAGTTTTTCAAAAAATATTTACAAAAATCTTTGTCCAGTATTTTCTTCAATGTTTGCCACACAAATAGGTTATCTTATGTAGAGATTTAACAAAATGGTAAATACAGAGTCTACAAATGTTTAGGATATTTGGGCTAATAATAAATCCTAATGTTTGGCAATATTTTGGCCTTAAAATGAATTATCTTATTAAAAATAAAAAGCATTACAGTGGGTCTATTTCTTCTAGTCATTTCTAAAGCATGCAAATTATGGTTCCTCCAAAAGTAAACTTTAAACATTTTTCATATAAGTGGTAGATAATTTTTTATAAAATGAAAGTAGAACTACAGTGCTCATTGAGATTCTGGTCTTTAATATAAATACTAATTATTTTCAGAATTTTACAGATTTGACCTCTGAGAGTTCATTTTACCCATTCTATTCAAAATATGAAAAAAAAATGTGATGTGAAATGAAGGAAAGGAATTTAAATATTTTAAATTTCAACATTTCAAATTATTAATATTAGTTATTTCCAGATTGCAAGGCTGTTGTTTGGGCTGCTGATTTTAGAATTATACAATTCTCTCTTACCATTATTGTGCAAAATGAGGGACATTTCTAACAAAGCCACCGTCTTACTTGACAGCTCTGGAGCCTCCCAGCTCAATTGCCTGGGATTTATACAAGATAAAATTACAGTGTGTGCAACAAACGACTCGTATCAGATGACACGAGAAAGAATGACCCAGGCAGAGGAGGAATCCCGCAACCGAAGCACAAAAGTTATCAAACCCGGTGGACCATATGTAGGTTTGTATAGATATCGTTTTCCTTCTCACTGATTGATTGGAATAATTCAAGACCACTGTAGGTAAATACTGGTAATATTAACTTAATGTTAACACAGAATTAGTTTCCAGAATATTTTGAATAACATGGTCAAAAATCATCTGTTCTCTTTATACTGATAATAAATTGAACAGATAGAAAAGTTTTACTTCTTTCATAAATCCCGAATCCTTTAAATCCATAACATTTGTTATGTTACAGTACTGGGACTGGGATCTGGTCACGTGACTTTACTATGTGAGGTTGTAGTAGTGGTGCTGTTGTGTGTTCTTTGACCCTGGATGATGTAATTTCAATGATGGACAGTATAGGTTTTGTTTGGCATTTTTGCAGGGTTATTTTTACAGTAAAATCTATTGGTAGAATTTATGAGTTTTCCATTAGTAGAATTTCAGAGGATCTTTGCACACAATTTTTATTTTAAAATATAAAATATGCTTATAACAAAGTATGAGGGTAATACCTTTTTGGTACCTCAACTGTGATGTCATTCATGGATTCTCATCCTCTTCTATACATTAATTAAGAGGCTGCCCCACCCCCATCATCTTTATGGTCAGCTCACTCAAATATCCATCAGACTGAAGGGAAGTAAGACCGGACGCAAGATGAGTCTCTCCTTTATGAGCAGTGACCCTACCAATTTTTAAAGAGTTGATTGGCAGTGACTATTAATAGTAATAGGAACAATTATCAAGAGTAAAGATGAGCTCTTTGAGGCTTTTGGTTATGATAACATAAGTCATCATAAGTAAATGATGAAAAGATAGAAATTTGGAAATGTAAATGCACACAAAAACAGTCTCATGAATAACCAAATTCTTTAATCAACATCTTTCCATGGTTTGGTATAATTTTACTTCTGTATTTTCCCATTGCTGACCCAGCTACAGTACATTCAGCTTTGAGAAGCTCCACTGGTGTCTTTAGTAAGTATTTCTTTGGAACAAAGCCAGTGCTCCTGGGACTTGGTGCTTAGCTTAGATACATTTAGTTTGGTTTAACAACAATTCATGGCTTCTCCAGGTATCTGTACCCATGGGGCCTAGTCCCAACCCAGTAAGTTACCAGCAGTGAGATTTTTCACCTTCCCTTTCCTGCTGAGTGAGGTAGCAACTTCCAACCTCCTTTCTTTCTCTTTATTTTCACAAGTAACTTCACTTTCTCTGTAGTAGGCTAAATCTCAAATTGTTTTTAAAATGCACAAGATCTGCCACACTTAAATTTTAAGTACAAACAGCGAATTTGCTGTCCCCATTGCTTTGAAAGTATTTTTTACTCTGTCCAGTACCATCGTTTTATAAACAGTGAGGCAAGTTGGTGTGTTTGACAAAGGACTAGAAGACTAAAACCACCAAAGTGATTTTTTTTTTTTGGCCTCTCAGCAGAACTAGCTGAAAAACTTTACCTTGATTTATTCCAAAGTTTGCAAATCAACAGTGATCACTGTACCTTTCCATTGAATGATCCTTGGGTGTCCCCTCCGTTCATGTGTTTGTTTTGATAGGGTCAGGTACAGTTTATCTGCACAGCATGTTACACGGCAGACTTTTCAACACCCAGAGTCACGTAACTCACACTGTTCCTAACGGTACAGGAATTTTCGAACTTGCAGGGTTTCTTATAGGCACTGTAGATAACTCATGTAAAATTTGAGGTCATCTAAAGTTTAAATTGAGCCAGATTACATCCGTGCCATTCTCAGACAGGCTGGCCTCCCTCTGCACACATACGTTTGCCCCCACAGAGCTCTGCAGTGACCCTGCCAGCCTGCGTGCCCCACTCTGCTGGGTCCTCTGTGCCCTGGCCGCTCCCCGGCACAGTACAGTGTTCTCTGGTCTTCAGTCTTGTCGTTAACCTCTTCAGCCTTTTATTCTCTTGGTCGCGTAACCCCAGCTCCTTTTAACTTTTCTTAAAATGGCCTGTATCCCAACCCTTTAATTATTTTTATTGCTCTCTTTTTGACTGCATCCATTTCTTCAGCTCAGAATTCAGAACTTAAGTTTTTGATTTTTTTACTGTGCTTTGTTATGGTGTGTTTTGACCTTTCTCTTTTAATCTTATCCACTGCTAGTCCTTTACCATATTTCTTTCCTTATAGGTGGCTCAGTTTGTATCTTCCTGCCTTTTTTAGTAACTCAAAACTATCTGACTCATTCATTTCTTTCAAATGCTAGTCATTCACCCCTCAGTACTAATATTACCCGACACTTATGGCATGCTTGCTGTGCACAAGATGCTGGTTAGCACTTTATACATAGTTACTCATCTAGATCTCAAAACCACCCCATTAGGGGGGTTATGATTACCTCTCCATTTTCCATATCACATAGTTGGTATCAACAAATAGCAAATGATATGGATTTGGCCCCATAACAAGTTGTGTTATTTTCTTAAGACAATAGGAGATACCTCTTTAGTTCATAATTGAATATATCATATAAAATGATACCAGAAGCACACTTTCGCCACCTTCAAAGTACCTGCATAGCAAGGCTTCTCTCAACAGCATCAGCTTGGGTGGAGGACAAATGGGAATAATGCTGGTCTCGCTGAGGGGTTGTGGTGGCATAATGCCAGGCGAGGCCTCTGGCAGCTGAATTAGGGCACAAACCCTGTTTAAGGGGATGAAGACTATAATCCTAAGGGTCACCTGGCCTAGTCATTCAGGAATATGAGCTTTTGAGACCCTCTTGTAGACTGAAAACAAAAACAAAAACAAAATCTATTTTGCCTGGAGAGGAACAGGAGAGTCTTTAACCTAGGAAACATCGTTATTATTTCTTCAGAATATTTCTGCTTCTAGTCGTGAAATTTGTATCAGTGGTGAGCACTGTTGTGTTATAATCCTTTCACTTTGTTTGAACAACAACAAAAAAAACTCAAGAATCACTAATTACCACTGCTTCCATTTTACCAATATGTCTGCTCCCTGATTTCTACCTAAATTCTGGAATTTTATTGAATTGTACATTTTTAATACATGCTAATATTTATTTAGATGGATAAAATAACCCAACCTGTGTAATTTTTAGAATTCTTTTTCCAATTTTCCCAATTTCTGCCCCATCTTATTTATAATGAGCTGATACATTTTGAATGACCTTGGACAAATCATTTAATATCTGTGGACCTTAATTTTCTCAATTATTAGATAAGGGATATTTGAACTGGGTAGCATCAAAGGTCCTTTGCAGTTCTAACATTCTGTGGCGTGTGTGTGCGTGTGTGTGTATTTGGATAATAAACCTTTTGCAAAAAAAAAAAGAGCAAAAATGCCAAATGGTGGAGATGGTTTCCATTGCAGTGGATTATGTATTTACCATGACAGTCACCCCATCATCAAGGTCCTGCCAGTGTTTTTTAAAGCATTGGGTTGGTGTTGCAGGGCTTCTGGCCAGGTTCCACAGAATAGAAAAACCACCGCAGAAGACGTCTACAGCCCCTGCTGTCTTTCTGATGTACTGTTTTAACACCTGCCTTTCAGATTGTTTACTCAGAGCCACTAGACAGAGGGATAAATACTTTTACCATCTCATATTAAATGGAGACGCTAGAAGTGGACTCCTTGTTATGAAACAGCAGTTCAGATACAGTCCCAGATTACCCAACTCTGTCAGACCCACTGCTGCTGTTTATATAAGGAGCCCAGGGAATTGATTAGCAGTTGGGTCTGGGAAGAGAATTAGGTTCTCCCACAGGCTTTATTAAAAGGGCTTTTCTGAGGCAAATGTGAAAAAATAAAAATAAAGCCTTTCTTCTGCCCACTTTGAACCTTACATTTTCTTGCGTTACTTTTTTTTATTTCTTTTTTTCTTTAGTATCTCAGTTCCATAACTACTTAGAGCACTGATGTTTTCTTCATCTGTAGCCGGTCTTACCTTAAATCAGAGGACTCCTTCCTGGGTGAATAGGCACAGACTGATGGGGAGGCAACAAGCAAGTGATCTTGGCATAAAACTCAGTGGCCCAGTGTGTTTGGATTGCTCTATCAGCATTTAAAAGAAGTGGGTTACCCCACAACTGGCTGTTTAAAGGAAAAATGAGAGTGGAGCATCTGGGTGGCTCAGTCAGTGGGGCATGCAACTCTTGGTCTTGGGGTCCTGAGTTTAAGTCTCAAGTTGGGTAGAGCTTACGTTAAAAAAAAATAAAATAAAATAAGTAAAAAAAATAAGTAAAGGAAATGAGATAAAGGTGAAGTGAGTGTACTGGGGGTAGGAGATTCATGTACCAGTAACAGCCTAGCATTAGGCCCCAGCTGAGACGTCACTGCTGTCATATCCCTGGCCAGATTCTAATTTCTTGTCAAACATCGTACTTACACGCCTTTTAGGGGCAAAATGAGCCTCCCTTATTTATCCACCCTATGCTTACTTCAGGGAGGGGTGGGGGTAAACTCAGGAGACCTTGGGGCTCTCCTGAGACTGAGGATCAGAGGTGGGTCAGATATACAGAGGAGGTAGGGCAGCCTGGAACACACTGGTACTGCTGTCACTTTTTATTTTTATTTGCCTTCCTTGCTGGCTTGAATTCATTCTAAATGATCAATCATGGTATGTGTGAGCTTAGCTAGCTAAAAAACATTACACTGTCCACTCCCCTCCCTAGGGAAGAGTGGTAGGGAGGGCTCCATAGTCAGCTTTTTTGGGGAAATGTAAGCTAAACAGGTTTCAAGGGGGAGGAGAGTGTGGAATTTATAGCATTTCCTAAACTTTTGTGACCCTGGCTTTATTTTTTTTTTCCGCACAAATTCCTATTAAGATTTCAAGGAACAGTACTGTTTGTTAATACTGTTACAACTGAGAAGTGGTAGATTGGAAGGTTTGCATTTGCCACATTAGAAATTCCAGTGTTTCCTCAGATGCTGGCATCCTGGCAATATGGGAAAATACAGACCACATTGATGCTGGCTCCTCTGCTGTCTGCTTGTTCTCTCGCTGTCACTCACTTTGACACTTCGCTAGTCATCAAATGCTGATTCAAAGTCTCCTAGTGAACAAAGCAGCCACAGCCCTGCCCGTATGGAGCTTACAATCTAACACGAAGCTGGCAGACAGGAGGCATTTGTTCATAAAACCTTTCCTACAAAGAAGTTCATGTAGGAAAACTTGGGTACTAATAACAGAACCTTCCAAATGCTAAGTGAGCACTTTACACCATTTGAGCTTATCCCATTGAAAGCCTCAGTTTTCTCATCTGTGACATGTGACCATGCCTGTTTCGTCATGCTGCTATGAGACTTAATATGTGTAAAGGTCTTAGCACAGTGTCCCCACCACCACCACTTAATTGATTCATGGTAAATATTAGTTCCCTGCCCATCTGACACTGATCTAGCTATCTCTAAGAAAAATACAGAAACCAGATCTAAGTCTATCTCCAAAACTCTAATGCACCCTAATAGCTTTTCTTACTACTAGGCAGTGTTCCTTTAATGTTGAGTTCCTTTGTTGTGCAATATTTTGATCTGATATTTATAATTCATTATGTCCAGACAGTAGAGAAATATAAGAGCCAGTGAGATATTTGTCCTTTCTCCTTTATTCTAGGCAGGATTGTGTCAGACAAACAGCCCCTCTGGCTAGGCCTCAGGACCCCAGCATGGACAGAATTACTATTAAAGCTCTTGCCCAGTTAAGCTGTTTTCACACCAGACCAGACCAGATCAGACCATAGCACTTAAGAGATTACTTTTACTTATCCATTGTTTCTAGTTGCTAGTCTTGTTCCTAAGGCACTTGCCCCACATTGTATATCATTACCAGTTCTCTCCACTCTTTAACCAGAAGACACAGAGTTGGAGGTTTAGAGTATTCTAAAGGTGCTAGAAGATTCCACTTCAGAAATGATAAAATGAGGGTCTTCTACAGTTTCATTCTAATTTTTTCTTCAGGGAAGAAAGTTTACCAGGTTTTGTCAGGGATCAGCTATGTCCTGATGGCTCTGGACATCCACGTGGTATCCAGATTACTTCAGCCCACAGATACTTTCTAGAAGTAGCCACTTGCCAATTACCAATGTTAAGTTTAAGGGCAAAGTCAGTTAATTACCAAATGGCACTTGCCTGGCAGGAATGATGTGAGGGCCTCCTTTTTACCATTTTCCATTCCTCTAATTCACCAGTGTAGCCTCAGCCCTGCAGTGCAGATGTCTGCTTGTCTGGCTCTCTGAGAGTGTTTTTTGGTTGGTTAGTTTTGGTTTTGGTTTTGACTCCTAAAATGTGTTACGGCCTGTTGAAAAGGAATATGTCTAGTGGATGTCCTGCTGAATGTTGACCCCAAATTATGCCTAACTCCCCTCTTTGAGGTTTTGAATCTGTGTTAATATATTAAGATAATTCCCCAGCTCAGCCAAAAGTATGGTCTTAGATACAAGTATTTCTCATGCTTCACATGTGTTACATTCTGTCTGCCAAAGAAATGACATATAATATGTAGATTTAAGTTCTGTAAATGGCACAGGTAAACATGGAAATTACTTTATTTCCACTTGACATGAACTACCTACGAACTTAAAATTTCTAGTCTGTTGGGGCACCTGGGTGGCTCAGTCGTTAAGCGTCTGCCTTCAGCTCAGGTCATGATCCCGGGGTCCTGGGATGGAGCCCCTCATCGGGTTCCTTGCTCAGCAGGAAGCCTGCTTCTCCCTCTCCCACTCCCCCTGCTTGTGTTCCCTCTCTCGCTGTGTCTGTCAAATAAATAAATAAAATCTTTAAAAAAAAAAATTTTTTTTTCCAGTCTGTTGCTACATGTACCATGTCACTAATGTACCATATGTAGCTAAGTGACCAGAATAATTCTGTATATGTATTTAGTCCAATAAACGTTTCTATCAAAACAATTTCAAATCCATAATTTTAGGCCATTTATTAGAAATGCTTTCTGTCTGTATATCTCTTTAAAGTAAAAACTGAAATAAAGTGGCCTTAATTCCCTCTAGAAATGAAGAAGTACCTATATCAGAGTTGAGGAAACTGTGATGCTCATTATGTTTTTACCTGCAAATGTGTAACAATGTCATTTCCACTGGACTTTAGGGAAAAGAGTGCAAATTCGGAAAGCACCTCAAGCTGTTTCCGATGCAGTACCTGAGAGGAAACGGTCAACCCCCATGAATCCTGCAAATACGATTCGGAAGACACATGGCAGCAGCAGTGTTTCTCAGCGGCCGTACAGGGACAGAGTGATTCACCTACTGGCACTGAAGGCCTATAAGAAACCTGAGCTGCTGGCTCGACTGCAGAAAGATGGTGTCAATCAAAAAGACAAGAACTCCCTTGGAGCAATTCTACAACAGGTGAGACATGTGGAGAGAGCTCCTTCCTTGTACTTTCTTGTTGAGAAGCTCATTTAAGAAGGCTTCGTGTTGTTGCTATTTGAGGTAGAGAAATTTCAGAATCATCTTCATCGATGGTATATGAATTATAACTCTTGAATATTAAGTCATCTTGTTTTAAACATTTAATTAAAATACTAATTGAACTATAGGCATTTATAGTAGGTTTTATAAGTTAGAGGCTACTGAATTGTTAATTTAAAAAAGTAAATTTCAAGTCATTATCTTCATTTGGATTAAACAAATTTTGCTCTGAAATTCCATAAAAAAAGTAAGAAGTTTTTGATGTCTCTTTTTTGGTCTTGAATCACCTAAACCATTGCTGTTGTATTTATTCATTTATATAGGTGAAGTTGTACAATTTATTTTTATCAGTCTTTGGTTGGTATAAGCTAGAATATTTTTATCTATGAGTTTCAATTGTGTCTTGCCATGCATGCTCTTTACTCTGCCTTTTTCTACCACTGAGTATGCTGAGATCATTCACTTGTCTTCATTAAGGGATTTGAATGTGTATTAGCTTTGATCAATTACCTTGTAATTACAAGCTTAAGTATAAATGTTGGAGCTGGAGTTAGAAATTAGGAGATAGCAGTGTATAGATTAGCTAGTGAAAGCTTTAGAACTGGGACACCTGGCTGGCTCAATTGAAGGAACATACGACTCTTGATCTCAGGAGCATGAGTTCGAGCCCCATGTTGGGTACAGAGATTACTTAAAGAAAAAAGAAAAAGAAAGCAAGCAAGCCGTAGGGCTGAATGAAATAGTCTTAGGAGAAGATGATGACAATGAAGAAAATAGGGCAGAGGATAGGTCCTAAGCACTCTAGCATATAGAAGAGTGCACAAAAAAGACAAGAAAAAAAGAGGGAGGGGGAGAAAAACAGGAGAAGATCCCATTATGAAGCCTAGAGAAGAGATGGGGTATTAAGTCTACATAGTCCCGAGGATAATAGGAAAGCTAAGCATTGTTGGTATTTTTTCCACTTTGAGAAATCGGGTTGTGTCTCATCCTAATGTATTTGCAAATTTGAATCTTAAGGCTACCATTTTCTTTTTTTTTTTTTTAAAGATTTTATTTATTTATTTGACAGAGAGAGCACAAGTAGGAAGAGTGGTAGACAGAGGGAGAAGGAGAAGCAGACTCCCTGCTGAGCAGGGAGCCCGATGCGGGGCTCGATCCCAGGACTCTGGGATCGTGACCTGAGCCGAAGGCAGACGCTTAACGACTGAGCCACCCAGGCGCCCCAAGGCTACCATTTTCTACTTTATAACAACATTAACGTTAATGTTAAGCTGTAAGAAAAGCATAAACTATCATAATACATTTGATAGTACTTTAAAAGGACACAGAAGTGAAGCTATTGAAAAAGACCATTCCAGTAGGAAATGACAGGAGGAATACCTTTCTGCCAGCCTTAAAAATGACTCTTGGTTTGGCACTTGAATCCATACATTGTATTATTAATGGAATCTAGGCCTGGACACTCTAGGAATTGCCATTATACGATAAGAAAAGATTACACTTAAGAATAAACTGGCTGACTAATAACAGTAATTTGGGGGTTATTTTGCTGTATGTTTCCTTTTATTGGTTTTCGGGAATTTCAAGGACTTTGAATAAGTGGTTCTTCAGGAGAACTGGCAGCCACAAGAAGCAGGCTTAGCAAGCCAAGAAAATGACAGACAAGGGCATCAGAATTGATACTATTTATGGAGATAATTTCTGCTGATTGCTCAAGGGAAAGTTTATAACCTAGCATTTGGGCAGTGTTTGGTTTCTACTTAATACAAATGATCAAGGATTTTTACTGTGGTTCAAAACTAATGGCGTTAATGACCAGAAGTAAATAAGGAAGCTGTTAAACCTCACTCCTTAGACTAGAAAAACTTGATTTAAAAAAGTAAAAAAAAATAAAATAAACTTCCCTCCACTTTTTGCCTAATGTAGGCTGTTTGAATAGAAATATGACACACAGTGAATGTTCAGGGGAAAAATATTTAGCTACTTATATAAAGTTTTTATTTCCCAAATAAAGTTGAACAGCATTTATTGAGATCTGGCATATGCAAAACTAGCAGTGCCTTTGGGGCCAATTGGTACAGTTACTTCCAGTGTAAATGGAAAATGTTTCCTGTTCCGGGTTAGGAAGTAGCAAAAAGATCTAATGCTCTGTTTTCACACCATGTACCAGGTAGCCAATCTGAATCCAAAGGACCTCTCATATACCCTAAAGGATTATGTTTTTAAAGAACTTCAGAGAGACTGGCCTGGATACAATGAAGTAGACAGACGGTCATTAGAGTCTGTGCTCTCAAGGTAAATTTTTTTTTCCTTTAAAAAAAAAATTTTAGTCACTGTTAGTTTAGTGTTGAGAAGGAAGAAACAAGGGTAAGCTTTTTATCACGAACATTTGACAATTCTTTCCATAACTGGAATGTGTGTATCCTTTACAGAAAACTAAATCCATCTCAGAACGCTGCCAGCACCAGCCGTTCAGAATCTCCCGTATGTTCTAATAGAGATGTTGCATCTTCTCCTCAGGTATTCATAAAATTATATAATCATAGCCCTGAAGTGAACCTCAGGGGCCACCTAGTTCAGGTGGTCTACTTATGCATGAGAGAAATGAGGCCCAGAAGCTGCACAGCTTGCCTGCCCAAAGTCACATAGCTAGTTAGTTCAGGGCAGAGCTCCCAGCTCACAGCCCAGACCTTTTTCTCTACACAGCTTTGCTTGTCAAAGTGCTTAATATCTACTTTGTTTGTCCATATTTAAAGTTTACATTGTATTATAAGATTATCTACTTTTCCATTAGATCACTAACTAGAAGACTTACCTAGGCCCATATCCAGTCTCAAATTATACAGAAAATTGAAGATATTTAATATTATCTGAACCATGTTCAAAAAAACTTTTCTTAGGGAAAAATGTTTCTAAAATAAGCAAATAAAAAATTCTGTCAATTTCAGACATATCTCCTTAATGTACTTTTTTCATTTAGATCCCAATCAGAATTCTCCATTTAAACCTCACTCCTTCCAGCTTAGTTTCCCCCAAGAGATTCCTTGGTTCCGTGGTTTGGAGGCTGACAGTGGGACAGACCTATCTACCCCAGTGCTACTGACAAAGTCATCCACTCTCTGGACCCTCCTCCCAAGGATTAGGGAGATGGGACAGATGTGTGGAGAACAGTAAGCATGCTATGGGCACAAGGCTATTCATATATCAAAAAATGTTAGAAACCTATTGTGAGGAACAGAGGAAGAAAAAATAAAAGCAATTCTGTCCTTGTATGCATTGTCTATAGAAGCCTCACTTTTAATGCCAACTTCCATGAAGTTATTTATACTCTGATCTAATTATATAATGGCTGCCAAATCAATGATGCTAAACTGAAAACAGAATAAATTAATGGGATGATTAACTGTTATTTTCTTCCAAGCTGAAGTTTAGGCCACATCATTACATTGGATATATGCTTTGTACTTTTCAACTACCTGAATTTTCTTTTTAATTTAAATATTGTTGCTGGATTGGGCTAGTATTAGCATAATTTTTAAATTTTTTGAAACATTAATTCCATATCATTTTTGTGGACCTGTCATTAAGACTTACTTTCCAATCCATTGAAGAGATATATTTACAGGGAAGAAATTGAATAGCATTTCAGCACTGATGGAGATACCTAGAGAAATTACTTTGAAGGTGCTGGCTGTTCCCATTTTAAGACAGGTGAAATAATAAATGACAGCCAAAATATTCATAACTGGAACATCTTAGCACATTAGAGGAGATTAAGTAAGTGTAGGCTTTTATTGCCCTTTACCTACCCTTCTTAGTTCTGACAGCGTGAAATGGTACAAACTGCTTTCTCCTCTCTCTTAATATAACTAGGTCAGCTGTGGCCCACAGAGGAAGGAGGTTACCTCTATTTAATACTCTCCGAAGTGGTATAGCCCACATAAATTGGCTCTTGAAGAACTTAGGGTGCGGCTATATGATCAGAAAGTATAAGTACTCCAAAAAACATATATTTGCCAGATTCTCCTTTTTTATGTTAGGCATGAGAATTTATTTCCCTTTTGTTTTTGTGGATTGTTTGTTCCTGCTTAAGCTTGCAGAATGGTTAACATAATGCCGGTGATAAACTTAAGAATGAGTAAAATTATTCAGTTGTTCATATGGTAACCAGTGATGCATGTGTTGAGTTTTCATACAAACTGGCTCATTTTTTTTCTCCTTCTCCCTCCCCACCCCAGAAACGGCTTTTAGATTCAGATTTCATTGATCCCTTAATGAATAAAAAAGCTCGAATATCTCACCTGACAAACCGAGTGCCACCAACATTAAATGGCCATTTGAATCCCCCCAGTGAGAAATCTGCCGCTGGCCTCCTGCCGCCCCCTGCAGCCGCTGCCATCCCTACCCCTCCACCGCTTCCTCCAACCCACCTGCCCGTCTCCAATCCTCCTCAGACTGTAAACTCTAACTCCAATTCCCCCAGCACTCCAGAAGGCCGGGGGACTCAAGACCTACCTGTTGACAGTTTTAGTCAAAACAGTAGTATCTATGAGGACCAGCAAGATAAATATACCTCTAGGACTTCTCTGGAAACCTTACCCCCTGGTTCAGTTCTACTAAAGTGTCCAAAGCCTATGGAAGAAAACCATTCAGTGTCTCACAAAAAGTCCAAAAAGAAGTCTAAAAAACACAAGGAGAAGGACCAAATTAAAAAGCACGACATTGAGATGACAGAAGAAAAGGAAGAGGACCTTAAAAGAGAAGAGGATATTGCCAAGCTGAGCAACTCCAGTCCAGATTCCAATGAAGGTATATTTTACATTTGTAAAACCAACGACATGTGTTCAGTGAATGAGCAGAGCAAACTCATCATGAGTGTGAGATTATGCTGTTTGTAATTAGTAGTGCTTTTTTTATCCATTGACCTTCTGTTATTAATCTTAGTGTTGTGGTATTGAGCAGATTTTTTTCTTGTATTTAACAGCAGTCATTTTCAGTCTCTTTTTAGCCAACTATAAAACATAGTTTCTATATTTGAGAATAAGATGCTAACATTTGAAAATGACTTTATTATCCTCTAGAGACCCCCTTCTAGAAGGTAGACTGTGTTGCTCTTTCCCTTAACTGCCAGGGTACTGCGCAACCTCAACGTGACCTATTATATGCCAGTCTTGAACTAATTTAACCAGACACACAATTAGCGATAAAAATAATTCTTTTCCTTCTTTGCCAAAGAAACAGGGTCACCCCTGCCTTAATTAATATTAACACAGGAGAAATGTCAAATTCTTTATAAAACAGGCAAGGTAAGATTGCATATGCAGATCCATCATATCATCGTTATTCAGAGTGAAAGCAGTTTGTCTTATGTAAGGCTATTGGCAATTTGCTTGATAGAGCTTAAGAAATTCTTTTTCAGTTTTAAGAACCCTGTTTTAGTAAACTAGTATTAATTGTTATTAGTAAAATTTAACCATTTCAAGCTTTTGGAAACTTTAAACGCCAGATATGTAGAGATGCAAAGAAGCTTATAAAGCTAATCAGTAGAAAAGACCACTTACCTGAGGTATAATGATCTTTAACACCTAGGGACAAAATTCTATTTTTCTTATTTTAAAAAAGTTGTCCTCTAAAACTTAATGTCCCCCATGCCAGCACATCGAAGATTCAAGCCCATCATTTAGCATTGCTGCCAGTTTTAAACCCAGCTTACCTAAAGCAAAATTCTCTAGGAAAATACAACCTTAGAAAAGTTATTCATTTAATGAATAGAGTTTAAGGAGTGTTGTCTTTCTGTAATTTGCCCATAATACTGGAAGTCTGTAATCCTTAGATTTAACTGACCATTTTTACCACAAGAGAGGAACTTTGCAGAACAGTATGATGCAGTGCCGTCATTGACCTGGATTGAATATACTGCATATCAAAGTTTATCTGTTGAAACATTTAGATCAGTATGGTACTGTATAGTGGCCCAAAAGGTAGATGTAAGCTTTTTTCCCTCGAGTACTACTGTACTTGAATTTGCCAGGTCAGGAAAAGGCAAGAGGTAATAAAACCTTGTGTTCAGAGTTAGCAAGCCATGTTCCTGGTTATATCCCAGCCTCCACACTTCCCACCCTAAGATGGTGATCCTGAATCAGGCTGGTGTTGGGGGGATTGGGTCCCAGTATGTTAAGACCTACAGCACAGTTTGAGTGTTTCTCAGAGTTGGAGGCCTGGAGAAGCAGACCTAGTCTTTGAATCCTCCACTGAGGATGTAGTACCTCTCAAAGACAGCTGAGATTATCCCAAAATACTGAGGATAGATCCAGACCCACAGCCCCTGAATCTATTGGAATTTATCTGGTGTTTGTAGCAAAGAAGCAGCCAGGTGAGATGCACTTAATGCCTTTTCCTTTAAGACACAGGCTGTTGTGAAAAAAAGACTCAGGCTTGAGTCAAACACACACACAAACACGCACGCACGCACGCACGTGCACCCGACCATGAACAATAAGCCCACAGAGTCTGCATAATCTGTTTACTATACTTGGTCTTTTAAAATATTAAATCAAGAAATTACAGAATTTTCACTTTATTTTATATTGAACATGTATATTTTGCCACAGGCAGGATTAGGATTTGAGTTATTTAATTCTACTCTGAATGCTAAAAAATTACCCTATAAAAAGTCTAAACATACCCATAGGAAAAGGTGGTGCATTCACACAAGTAGAATACTGACTGAGGGATTTTACATACTTTCACAGCATAGCCCTGAATGACTGGCAGTCTATTTATTTATTTATTTATTTTGTCCTTTTAAAAACAAATCTGAAGTATTATGAGATGTAGAGATGGGAGGGGTGTAGATTGTGATTCAGTAATGACTTATTTTAAGTTACTTTAAACTGACACGGGAAAACTTCTTGGCTGCTTCCACCGTCTGCATACAAAAAGGGTGGCAATAAAATACAGTGGCCAGAGCAGTCTGTTACCTGACTTCATTGTCTCATCTGCCTTGTTTGAATCCTATGAAAAGTAGATGTTGATGTAAAATTTGTATCTTCCATTGTCTGGCTGCATCTGCCACCACAGTCTTTGAATTGCTAGGCAGATGCCACAACTGTTATGGAAAGAATAGAAGACTGACCTTGGGTTAAGATGAAATTCCTTTATTATGCAGACACTGCAGCAGCCAGGGCACTCTCAATGCCTGCCCTCACTTCTGCTGGCCCTGGTCATGGGGCCTCCATTGTTCGGATTCAGTTCTATGCCTTGCTCACTGTTGCTTATTGAGCTGGAAGAACAGATTTGGAGGAAGAGTGTTCCAGATGTTTCTGATCTATTTTAGAATTATAGGCATTTTATAACCATACTGTTTGGTGAAAGCCTGAATCTTTTTCTTCGTTGTAGGAGTTAAAGAGGGTTGCACTGCCTCCACGGAGCCTTCTTCAACAATTGAACTCCCAGATTATTTGATGTAAGTTCTGACGTCTGCCAATGGGAGAGAACTGTTTAATTTTAGAAAGTTTGCAATTTCTTTTCCCATAATTCACAAATCAGAAAAGAAGTTCCAGAAATAGAGTCCTGGAGCCACCCCTGCATTTGAAAGGCTGCCATTAAGCCTGCTTGTCCCAGATCCACCCCTGTCTGCCTGAGCAGGTTGTGCCTCCCCCTGCTCTGAGCTCTGCTCCATGGGCCTTTAAGTATAGAGAAGCCTGTCCTTTGTTCCGGTGCCAGGCCAGGCATTTGATTATGGAAGATTTCAGGGATCTGACTCTTCAAAGCTGACAGTCAATCAATGCACATTCACTTGTTCCCCTTGAAGAGAGAGTTTATTACTGATAAAGAGCTTAAACCTCCGCAGTTAATACAAAGTACAGATAGACTGATTTTCATTTAAATAAATCTCTGCCATGGAATTAATTTTAAGAGGAGAGAATAGTAAAATTTGATCATTTCACTTTAGTACCAGTTACAATGTTTTTCTTGTTATGGCAACAAGTTGCTAAATGCTGAGCTGGAGACATTTTTGTAACTGGTTATCACAGAAATTATAACTTGTACACATAATTCTAGCTTTTTTATAGACTCAGAGGCTTCTGTAAGAATAAATAATTAAGTTGCAAGAGCCTGGAAAAATGAAGAGTAGAAGAGCAAACAGATTTGACTGCAGGATAGCTTTGAAAATGAACAAATGGGCAAAATAATTTGAATGTAGATTGGAAAATGAACCCTGAGCTGTATAAACATTTTTTCTCTCTTAGTAGCATCTCATGATGGACAAAGTTAAACTATGCTGTTTGGCACTCCATGTAGAACGAAATGTTCATTTCTAAAGTAGAGAACATTTTATACTTAAAATGTGTTAACCTTTGCTTAACAGTAGTGTGAAAGCTATACTTAATGGGGAACGATACAGCATGAAACCATAATGCTGGTTATCATCTCTTAACTAGAAAGAACCCAAGAAACCATGCTGAGTCCTCTCTCATATGAAGTGGTATGGTTTTAGACTTCTGAGGGAGCTTTGAAAAGCAACCACCACTGAATTGGCCCAGGAAGGCTTGGGTTGGGGGACAGCTCCTGGCTTCACTGATGAGAGAGTTCACCTCTCCTTTTGCAAACCCACTTCTCCTTAAAAGTCTTGTGAAAGTTCCCCCCCTCAAATGACAACTGCAGTACTGGGCTCTCATTCTCTTGTGATTTTGGATCTTTGGATTTTGAATTCCCCGTTTTTTTGTAATAGTGATACAGACTGGTTATATGTGACAAAATCATGTGGGGAGACTATAAAATAATTCTAACCCTTTCCCCATGGATTCAGGATGTTGCTGTGTTTTGTCAGCTTAACCAATTCGTTCTATATTTTAAAACTTGTTTTTAACTCCCTAATCTGAGGATGGGTGCTACATTTGCTTCATGTTTCTGGCTCTTAAAAATCATGAAAGTATATAACCTCTGTGATTATTTGCTTAATTTATTTTATCCCAAAACTATCTGATATTAATACAGCAAATTTTCTTAAAATGGTGAGAAAGCTGGACTTTTCAAGAACACCAAAATTACAGAACTTAAAAGACTTTGGTTGTTTCATAAGAAAACCAAAAAGATACAATAAAACCTTAATGATCAGCCTCTGAATAAGTCATACTTAAACCACAATATTCCTAATTTTTATACAATAAGAATACTTTTACTTGTGGTTGTGAAATAGCCAAGCCCCTGAAAATTTTATTCCATCCCTGCATTAGGAACCAACTAGAGAACCATAACAGTTTTGTTTTGTTTTTTAAATAGTGAAATGCTTTTCGTTAAAATGCCAGTATAACCAAATAATCTTCTATAATAGCAACACAACTGTTGGCCAGTTTGGTATTTTTCCTAAGGAAATTATTAAATAAAATATTGAGGGTGTAGCCTCGGTTGTGATTTTGAGAAAGCAGGGTATTTTATATAACAAATTAAGCCTGAGTTTCATGAGCAGTTTAGCCATTTTGGTTACATACACTTATCCCCAGGAACCTCTTTTCCCCACCCTGGGCTTCCTCTGGTGTGCAGTCAGGACAGCCCTGTCTAGGAGAGGACTGCTTCTCTGCTTGGCTGGCCCCGTTCCTTTTACAGCAAAGACACCAGCAGGGCGCTTTAAATCAGCATACTACTGCTGTCTCAATTACACTTAGAAAAATAAACCTCCACAGTGTTTAACTCAGCATGAATAAAAATATTAATGAGGACATTAAGGTTGCACAGTTGCATCACTTTTCTCACATTTCCAACTGGACACTTTGCTCTCTCATTTTGAATAAAACTGGCAAGATTATCTGAAACCATTTTTGAAGAGGACTGAACTCGAAGGTTTTCCCACAGTCAAGAATATATGCACGTGCCTGGGGCATGCTGAAGCACCTGCTACCTGCCTGAAATTGCTTTGAAATCTCAATTTTTATTTCCAAAAGTAAGGGAATTTTGCATTCCACGACAGGAACACAGTACAGAGACCCAGGCCAGACCCTGGTGTGATCCCACTTCCCGGAGCCACAAACAAATAATACTTTGTTTTTAATATTAGAATGCTGTTTTAATTTGCTTACCACTGACTAAACTGACACTCTGGGAAAATGGCCTTCCCTCACCAGTTTCCTAAAGTTATTCACAACCCCAAGTAAAACAGATTTATGGCATTTTTATTAAAAAAGTAAATTAGAATAATAGTATATGCTGATGTTCAGTTACACAGACTATGATATTTTAGTGTTGAAAAGAACTAGAGAAATATGCCTTCCCCCTCACCCCCTCTTTTTTTTTCTGGTCTCTCATTTCAAAAGAAAACAATTACTCTTTTGTATTTTATACATATGCCTAGTCAAACGTGGGAGGAAAGAGGTAGAGAGAATAAGCCGGAGGCACCTTGCTGGCAGCAGGTATAAACGGCCAAAAGACAGACCTCCTCTCATAAAGCAGCAGATCTAGGGGGGGCTTTGACTTCAGCATTCAGTGACTATGTAACACTCTCCTGGTTTCATGTTACCCACCGAGGCCTTCTGTTTCCATGTGACTCGTAACAGATGGGTTGGCCTCTGCCACTAGTGTGGTAGTGAATTACTTTGGATAGAGAAAGGTTTGGGAAGCTAAATGTGTGAGTGTTGTTTTCTAGTCACACTTCAGTCCCATCGCCACCATGTTTTTTTCACATTTACTTTCCTTCAGTGAAGGTCTGAAGCTCTCCTGTGGGATAATTTCACCTGGAAGTCGTCCGAAGGAGTGACATGGGAGCAAACAGTGGCAGGGGCAGCATTCAGTCTAAGGATACATGCTTGGATACGGTTTCTAGGTTTTTGGTTTAAATGTCAGGCCTTATGCATCATGTTGATTCTATAGTCTCTCTCAATTTATCTTATTTCTTTTTTCTTATTAGAAAATATATTGCTATCGTCTCCTATGAGCAACGCCAAAATTACAAGGATGACTTCAATGCTGAGTATGATGAGTACAGGGCCTTGCATGCCAGGATGGAGACTGTAGCTAGAAGATTTATCAAACTAGATGCACAACGAAAACGGCTTTCTCCAGGCTCAAAAGAGTATCAGGTAAACATGTTTGCTCCTAGATAGGCTGACTTCCATATTTTACCCTCTTTGTTCTCTGCCTGGCCCATCCCCAGGCACCCTACTGGCCTTCAGAGCAGGTCTTCGGCAAACCAGCCTCTCTGCAGCTTTTGGTCTTCATTTAAAATTAGCTAGGAGGGGCGCCTGGGTGGCTCAGTCGTTAAGCATCTGCCTTCGGCTCAGGTCATGATCCCAGGGTCCTGGGATCGAGCCCCGCGTCGGGCTCCCTGCTCAGCGGGAAGCCTGCTTCTCCCTCTCCCACTCCCCCTGCTTGTGTTCCCTCTCTCGCTGTGTCTCTGTCAAATAAATAAATAAAATCTTTTAAAAAATAAATAAAAAATAAATAAATAAAATTAGCTAGGAAACTAAATATTGAAATAGTTTTCAAACATAAGTAAATACAATGAACTGTTTTTCTGTCAGTGGAAAAAGATAACATTTTATATAGCATAGTATGTATAAAATATGTAATATATGCTTTAACTTTACGATAACATAATAAAGAGAGCATCAAGAAGAAAGCAAATACAACTAATAGGAGAAAAAGTTGGATTTGGGATTCACGGAAATATTTGATTGCACTGCCAACTCAGACTATAGCTGCTAGTTCTGGTGCTGTTCCCCAAAATTGCTATTTCAAGTACATTAAAAAAAAAAAAAAAAAAACCACAAAGCTCAATCTGACACAAGGTAGGGAAGATATAGACATAAAATATAAACAGGGTTTAGTGCCACAGAGATTTGGGGTTTAAGTGAAGAAAAGTTTGGTATTTCCAGCTCTTCCAAAGACTGACATTTGTTAACACACACTAATCTGTTTTCACTTCCTGACTTTAAGTAGTGGTATTACCACAGCTGACAAACCAGAAGCCAGACCCACGTACTGGTTGTTCGCATAGTTAACAGGCAAAAGGATTAATATAAATGAATGTTTCCCTCCTTGTGTCGGCCACAGAAGTTGTCACACTTCACACCCATAGATAGTGCCTTCATTCTGGCCTACTACTGTTGTTCTGACAGGAATCTATGTAAGAGAATGAATGGGTTTCCCACAGTGGGGAAAACAGCCTGAGAGCATCTGTGCCTTAAAGACTCATGTGTCTTTCATTAGTGGGCCTTAATCTTTAAACAGGCTGCCTAGAGTTACAGATTTTGCCAGAGGAATTAGTCTTTGAGGATGCAAGAGGTCTTGATATATGGTGGTTTGGGTTTTTTTTTTAGATCTAGTTATTTACCAGTGTACCATGATTATATTTAAACTAAAATGTAACTCCAAAGACTGCTTAGTGGTTAGGAGGAGGCTCCAGAGCTAGACTGCCTGGGTTTGATTCCCAGCTGTACCATTTAATATTTGTGTGACTTGGGCAAGTTATCGAACTTTCCTCAAAATCTCCCTCCAGAAAATAAGGTGATTATAGAGTTGTGCAGAATAAATGTAAGCATTTGGAAATGCTTATATCCATAGTACGTAAGGTTACATAAGTATTAGCCATTTTCTCCAGCCTAGAGGTAATCAATAGTACTGGTTTCCAGTGTATTCTTTCAGAGGTCTGTACACAAGCAAATTCATGTATGTGCCATATGTAATTGAATTTAAGATGTCATCAATTACAATATGCACCACGGTCTTCTGTTCCAGTAAGTTAAACTGTGATACATTATTTATCTGATCTCATTAAAATGATAAGGAATGTGCATCTTAGAAGTCATGAAATTCTGATAAGAAATGTGCATCTTAGAAGTAATGAAATTCTTAGAATATCATTCTTTTTCCCCTTTTAAACAAATAATATCAAACTGTATAAATCATTCTGTACTTTTTTCATTAAACAATATAATGCACCTTAGAGAACTTTATATAAGTGCATGAAGCATTTCCCCCTTTTTAATGGCCTCTTAGTATCCCTTTTTATGGATTAATGGACATTGAAATTTTGTGTACTGTCTTTTGCTTTACAACTGATACTGCAGCAAGTAACCTTGTACACACAGCATTTCACTCAGGCACAAGCAAATCTGAAAGAGAAGTATAGGAGTGCTGAGTCAGTTCTGCATTTGCTATTTTGATAGCAGTTGCCAAATTGCCTTCTTTAAAGATTGTACCAATTTACATTCCCATCATCAGTATTTCTGACACCCTTACTGAATGGGTCTTAGCTGTTTATATTGTCAAAAAGAAAAGTTGTTCCCTTCTGATTTTAATTTTTAATTTTGTAGAATGTTCACGAAGAAGTCTTACAGGAATATCAGAAGATCAAGCAGGTAGGAATCATCACTGTGGGTTTTCTGACCCGTGCTTGGGAACTATTACAAATTCTGCAACCTAATTCCTCCCTGTTTTTTTCCTCTGCAGTCCAGTCCCAATTATCATGAAGAAAAATATAGATGCGAGTATCTTCATAACAAGCTGGCTCACATCAAAAGACTAATAGGTGAATTTGACCAGCAGCAAGCAGAGTCATGGCACTAAATCTCTGCTTGGACCAGAAGATGTGAATAAACTTAAGCTTATTTATTTAAAATTCCAAATGAGTTGCTCTAAGATTCTAAAAAAAATGGAACTTTGCTTGTCGAAAGTTTCAGTATGAGTAAACTTGAGTTATTTACCTTTTTTTTTTTTTTCTTTTCCCCATTTTACTTTGCTTCCCTGCATTTTTGAAGCTGCTTTTTTCTGGCCCTTCACCCCAGCCCCTCCCTACCCCCAAGACTTATGTTTGTCAATAGAAATAATTTTTCTTTTTAGATATTGGGGATCCAGTGTCTATACTTCAGATCAATTTTTTCTTTAAAAACTTATGTTTGTCATTGGAAATGATTTTTTTTTAGATATTGGGGATCCAATGTCCACACTTCAAAGTTATGTGTGTTTAAAAAAAAAAAAAAAAAACAGTAATGTGCAAGGTGAAATGCTTTTGGATAAACATAAGCCTATTTTCTGACCTTTCTTAATGCAAACTCTTTGCCTTAAATGGTAGAATATTTAGAAATTTGCACAAAATACAAAAAAAAATTGAGACATTGTTTTGGAGGGTTAAGAAATAGAAAGGCGTATGTGTATGTGTATAGGTATGCACACACATATGGACATACAGGCTGACTTGATCTAGACAGTATATCCGCCCTGCAAGTTAACCCCCCATTGCAATGGTTGCCTTAAGGTGTTTGCTAGTTGTGTACATTAGTGTGGTTAATCATTAGCTACACTGCTTCCCACTTGGTTAGAGCAGTGGGAAGCATACTGTGGCCTACCAGCGTCTGAAAGCGTGTGCTCGACCTGTATGTGTGCAGAGGTGGTGTGGATGTGAGCGTGCATGGAGGAAAAAAGCTGCTACTCTCAGTAGGCCAAACGCTCAGGTTAAACAACTGACGAGTGTTACTGTAGGGGTTGTTTGTTTGTTTGTTTTCTGTCAAATTGCTACTTCTATTGTGGAAGACAAAAGCATTTCCATTTCAACAGTTTGTCAGCTTTATTAATGTTGGGCAAAATCAATATGTTATGAAAATGAAACAGATCTATAGTTTTGGGGCAAAATTATAAAATTAAACATGTAGGTAACCTATTTATATACTGCTATAAAGTATTTTTTGAAGAGAGATATGCAAAGAAGCTATTACCTACATGAAATGTATATTTAAAGATTTTTTTTTTCATCCTGGGAGCCAGGACTATAAAAAAAGAGCGGATACATTTAACCATAACATACTGTGAGTCATCAAACAGCACAAACTTTCATTTCATGGAGTTTATCTGTTGACGTTGATTTAAACTATCATTTGTTTTATCATGTGGGAACATAAGTTATGTGGTCAAAAATATAAGGATTTTGAACTAATGTTGATTCAAGTTGTGTTGTCTTTATCGTATTGTCTTTTCAAAGTGCTGCCAGTTGAAAAGGGAAGCATTATGTTTACAAATCTGTTTTGAAATGTTTGCCAAAATTTTGGTAGTATCTTTAATAAAGATGTTTGTCTCCAGCATCCAAAAAATAAATAAATAACTTTGTTGTGTATCAGTGTAAACCAGAAAATGTTGGTATCTAGAAAACCTGAGAGAGCATATAGAAGAACTTTCCTCTTTGCAGTTCTTCTAAAACATTAACTGGAAAGAGTAGATAATATAGAAGAGTATACAAAAGTAAAAAGACTACAAAAAGACTGATAAAAGACCCTGTGCACTATAACTCTATAACATTACCACAGAAATTAGATTTCTATGTAGCACGGACCTCTTAAGGAATTGGTTTCTTTTAGCATTGAGATCCCTGGTGCTCTTCCTTTTACCTCAGAATTGGTACAATCATTACTAAATGTTCATTGATTTTAAACTTTGAGTTGTAAAAAGATAGGAAACTTAATTGGGGATAACTTTGTTCCTCATATAAAGGTGGAGTCTCCTAAGAGATTTGTCTGTAGGTAATGACCTCACTGGTGTCATTTCTTGGACAACTTGGCCTTTTAATCAAAGATTTCTGCTGCTATTTGCTATGAGCAGTGTTTCTCAAAAGCAAGGTGCTTGGACCACTTGCATAACCCAAATTAGAATCTCTGGGTATAGGGCCCAGGTATCCACACTTTCATAAGTAGCCTCCAGGTGACTTTTGCAAGGGAAGGCGTGAGAACCATTGGCTTAGATATGGCGTTAAACCTTTGGGTCTGTAAATCTCAAAGTCTTGAACTGAAGTTGAACGATTGGCTGTTTTTTTAAGCCCATCCCTGTCAGCAGGCACAAATCACTCTGCCCCTCTACATGATCAACTGTTTCACTGGCAGCTCTTACTTCAGAACTTGTTTATGAACAAGCCTTCCAGTTGGCTCTTAGCCCTTGGAGTTCTCACCCACATACATCAGCACATCTTCTGGTTTACAAACTGGGTAATAATGGAAGCTGGAGATAGGTTATGAAAATCCAGCATTGCACATAGACTTGACCACCTACCTATAAAAGCCTTAATTTAGATGTTTGTTGTATACATTGGGCACAT